ATCATGCATTCTTCGAGTTTTTTAAATCCAAATCCATCCGCAGTTTTTCAATTGGTATATTATCACCCAATAATCTATGATTTAAATCCATTAATCTTTCAACTCGTGGAACGACTACTTGACGTAATTCTTGCATGATCTCATCTAAAGTTTTACGAAGAGTTTTACTTTTTACTGTTGAAGAAGTATTAATGGTGGTGGTGGTAATATTATTATTATTATTACTATTGTTATTGTTATTGTTACTAGTATCATGATCTTGTTCCATAGAGAGACGAAGACGTTTACGAGCCAAACTATTATTAGTCTTATTAGAAATGTACTATAAAATGTATTAAATATATATATATATATATATATAAAAATTAATATCCAGAATTCAAGAATACTAAATAAAATAAAATAAAATAAAATTAAATACCTCTTGAATCTCTAATTTAAGTTCTTTAGGAAACCACCATTCTTCCATGACAGCCAAATCAGCTTTTAGTCGAAGATCTTTAAAACATTGAAGTACGGCGGCCGTTCGTTCTATATAAGAATCCTCTTGTTCCCTTTGCTTTCTCTTACGTTTAAGATTTTCTTTTTCAAACCTTTCGGATTGACGTTTTTCAACATCAGCATCCAAAGCGATTTGAGGATCAGAATATTTTTGACGTCGAAGATGATCAAGGTGAGTACGTAGATAGAAAGTACAATGCATGCCTAAATCATATACATAAGTCTTCCATGACTACATATGTAATTTAATAATAATTAATAAATAAATATTAAATATTTTATGTTAATTAATTAATGTACAAACCTTGAGCACTTCGATTTCCTTAGCGGTTAAAGTGTACGCATATAATGCACTCTTATTGACTAATTGCCTGACAATGCAAAATCGACATAAACGAACTTCCCATATTGGAATTGGATCACCGGAATCACCACAGATTGTACATACTTGAGTTACGTAATATTTGTAGGATTCCACAAACTGAAAATTATATAATAAATTTAATAAATGTAATAAAATGTAATAAAATTAAATAATAAATTAATAAAAAAT